AAAAAAAAAAAAAAAAAAAGCTAGCAATTGATAGTGGGTCTGGTACTCGTTATCCTTGGATTGTAACTGGAAAAATTTTCCCACTCAATTGAACTGCCATTGAGATTTGGGTTTATGATAGTACAGTGCGCGAATGGCTTCCACTACAACGGATGGCTGCAGCCAGCTTCATACAGGAGCCATCACAGAGGTCGGGTGTGACGCAGCCATACCAATTGAGGTCTTAAAATTCATTCTAAATTTTCCTTTCTGTCGATCAACTTCATTACGAGAACGCCATGATTCTGACAGTACTGTGTTCGGGCTTTACTTCAGCCCTGTTTGCTCCTCATCAAAAGGAGAATTCAGTAAAAAGAACAGTTATGAGTTGTCAAGCCATCTCAAACTCACGAACATCTATGTCAAATAGGTATTGGTTGTCGAGGTGCGGAAGCATATGAGATGACACTGTGCACAGCCTAATTCGAGGCTCACAGCCTTGTCCGAGATACAGTGCACACTACATAGGTAGTACGTTTATCTTAGCTGGCTGAAGATAGGATCTTGAAACCAGATTCAGAGGAGCATCCCCATATTTCACATTGGATCTCATCTCAAATCTCCATCTCCATAATACCTGCAAGACCGCAGTAGACAATGGTCGTGGCGTAGTCTGGGGCCGACCAGGGCCTATACATACAAAAAGCTGCCGAGTCTACAGTACTGTACCATCGTCAACTTTTTGACTGCAAGACAGAAGCCAAATCGGCGAAAAATTTTCGGTCCAAGGGGGGGGCGTGCCAAAGACAATCCCTTCGAACAAGGGCAAAATCGGGATGGATTCACCATGTGCAAAAGTTGAAAGCTTGGTCCAAGCTCTTTACCTTTTTGGGAAAGCTTATGGCGTACTGTCTGATGCTGTAAATACGTGTTGAAAGAAGCAATGGGAATGAATCAAGTCATACTGGCTATCTTATAGAGCCATTGACTCTTATAAAGGACTCCAATATACACAATGGGCCATTCTAGATCTTCTGGATACCAACATCGACATTCTTTCTACTGTTTGTGCCCTGAAAATAGCAACGGAGATCTCTCAGATCGGTCTGTGGAAGCAACATGCCACCACCGAACTTCCATCATGACACCGCTACGGGACAGGCCAGGACTCAATTGCATGATATGGAGAGTCTTACAGGGGTCGTCTACGGCATCATAGAGTTATGTGTACTTCCGTATGGTACAAGCATCTCAACATTTGACAACGCAATGGCTTGTGTTGTTCAACATCAAAGCTTTGGAACATCATGATCAATTCCGAGAGGAAAGCCAATTGACTAAACAAGGGGGTATCACTGTTGCCGAAGCGTCTAAACTGTCTATGCTTACACCATATATCGCCAATCCTGGCACCGCCATTACTCTTCCTCCTCCTCTTCATCTTCCAACGCTGCAGGTGTCTTGATCGCGTAGCCTTCCTCGAACCCAGCAGGATCGCACATATGCTCTAAACTGATCCGATTCTCTGCTACATACCGACGGACCGCTTGCTTGTCTATCCGCACTCGCGGTACTGTTTTTACTACTGTGACCACACCTTTATTAACTCCATCAGCAGCGGGTGAAGTTTTCGTCTCCTCATGCTTGCCTTCTTCCGCATCATCGTGGACGGGCTTCTCCTCAGGCTTACTGGGGCCTAAGCCCGCCTCTTCGACGACACCCATATCTCGCAGTACTGGTAGACAGTCTTCGGGAAGAATCCACGTCGCTTTGCTGCAATCGTTGAGATCCACGAGGACTTCGTCGTCAGAATTCTTGGCTTCCATGTCAATACTTAACAGCCATCTTGCGATTTCGCCAGCCCAGTAGCGTTTGTATCCCTTCCTGCCAAGATCCGAAATTGGCTTTTCCGGTCCGCCCAAGATCCCCTCTCTTCGTGAGATCTCGTACGAAGCTCCCATCAGCAAAGCACCGAGACCTTTGCGTTGCCACGGAGGGAATATTAGAATACACGCAAGGTTGTTACTATCCCACGACATCTTCTCTTTGGAGAAGAACCCAGTGATCCGAGGCAATGGGGGTTCGGAGTCTGTCGGCCGGGCCGGAGGGGTATAGACAAGCAAGAAGTAGTTGAAGCCTGTGACGTCGAAGAAGACAGATTTGTTATCGAGGAACAGTTTTGCAAAGAGTGATAGGTTCTGGCAAAACAGCTGAGAGGATGTGTTAGCGTCGAGGCTTTTTGGGTCACAGCATTTGAACTCACCCCGTCTCTCTCTCCATCGACCTCCCAGATGCTCCATTCTCCTTCGTCCTGTACCAACTCTTCTACATATCGAACATTGCCCTCTCCTTTGCGTCTCTTGGGTCCAGAAGCTTTGTTTTCGTACGGTACAAGAATCTTCCTGCGCCCTTGGGGGTGAATGTAGATCTTGCGTCCTGGTATCTGGGTTTTCCGCTCGCATACATGCATATGTTGACACCAGGGCATCAGTTCTTTGGAGTATTTGAAGCAGCTGGGGCAGATATAAAGACGATCGACTGCAGGCGGTGATGTACCCCCTGTGGCCTGGCCCTTGGCACCCGCCTCTTTGCTGCCAGTCTTGGCTAGATGGTGCGATGACTCACCCAGCACTTCCTTACCGTAACAGCTAGGGTACCACGTGCTGAAGCACATATTACCCAAAACCACTTTGTCGATATTGCGGTCGGTTCGGAGAGGCGGGCGTACTGACGGGGCCACAGGGGGCTTTGGAGGGTGGACTGGTGTAACTGTAGGCGGCGGCGGTCGTTCGAGTATACGCGGTGGTTGCGCTGTAGGGCCATGAGGTCGGACAAGAGCTGAAGGTCGTTGCAACGAGTTGCTATGCGAATGAGGGACGTGATATGTGATTTCAGGCGCTACCAGATCTGAAAGCGGACGCCCGCCTGCAGCAGTAGGTCGTGGTGGTGGAACGGCCGTCATTGTCGATGAATGGGGAGGTGAAGGTGCCCTTATTGCTGGGCCTGGTTGTTCAAGCGGAGCCCATCGCAGTACAGGAGGAGATGTTTGTGACTGTGTTTGCGCCTTGTTTGGGGCGGTAGTACTGGATTGCGCCTGAGACGGCTGAGGACGAGCTGCTGAAGTACGATTGCGCTTCTGTTCAGGAGAGGCTGTTTTTGGAGAACTTGATAATAACGGCGGTATTACAGGCGGCGGAACAGCAGTTTCGGTACGTTGTTGAGGTTGAGGTTGTGCTGGTGATGCTGGTGATGCTGGCGGTAGAACCGGGGTTTGACGCGTCGCCCTACGCGCGACGGTGGGTTTAGCTTGAGGATCGGAAGAGGTCGGTTTGGGTGCGGAGGCAGAAGCAGAAACAGAGGCGGATTGCGATTGGGATTGGGATTCAGCGGGGTCTTGGTCTCCTCGCTTGCGCTTTTGAGGCATCGCTGTGCGACCCTCGACTCGGAGAAGAATGTGGTTGAGAGCAGCAATTAAATCAATACCAGTACCAATAGGTAAGGATGCGCCAGGACGTATTGGGATGCGGTCTTAGTTTAGATCGAATGTCAATTTACAGTGTTGGAAGAGAATTGATTGATTTGCCAAAAAAGGCTCGTATTATTATTTTGAATATTTCGTATATGAGTTGTTGAAAGAGCGAATAGAGTCATTCAATTAGATAGTTCTCAGTATAGATAGGTAGGCAGGAACACAAGATATGGTTGAGGCATAGACTGGACTGTGACTGGGCTGCGGGCATAAAACGCGACGCGGGGACGGACGGACGGACGGTATGCAGCAGGTGCAGGTGCAGTCACTGAACAAATCGACGCCATCACGTGCGGGTCTGTCTTTCCATGTTTCATCTTGTCTTGTCTCATCTTCTGAAGCAGCCGCAACCAGCCAAAAGCTTACAGATCTGGTGTTGAGGATCCCTCTATAAATCACCTACAAAGCCAATCACTGATTCAGAAAAACACCTAACCTCACAAACTCAAGCTGGTTTTAGTATAGCAATTTATTCTCAATTTGTGTTGCTACCACTACAGTACTATATATAAAGCATATTGACGGAAAGGACTGACTACTATTCTCTGCTATTTGACTTATTCGATCCAGGTTATTTGAATAAAAGCTCTCGCTCTTATACTCAGCGCAACTCCAATCAGTGACGCTTCAAAGAGCAGCTTGGTGCATGAGCACCCATAACTCGCTCCAAGGTCTCATCGCCCTCCTCCCAGTTCTTGATAAGTGTCAAGAGTCGGCGACGAGCAAGGCCGGCGTCACGATTTCGGTACACACTATCGATTTTGCGCACATCAGTCTTGTCACTGATAAGCCATCGTCGTTCCTCCTCCATAAACCGGTTGTACGACACATCCTCGCCGTATCGGGCCTTTACGTTGGCAGTAAGGTGTTCCTGCACAGCCTTATTGAGCTCGATCTGAGGCTTGGTCTGCTCAGCAGGGTTAGCGAAGCGCGTGTCGACGGTGGGCTTGAAGGTTGCCGGTTTCAAGGTTGGGTCTGGAAGAACCGAATAGGCCGTAAAGCAGACGAGAGTTGAGCTCTTGAGGACTGCTTCAGATATGACCTTGAGTGCCGGGGGTGTCATGGGCATGTGTCCAAAGTTGATGTAGGCCAGAGGGCCCTTGGTCTGAATCAGTTGCTGAATGGCCGGCACAGCTCCATCCTCGATGTAGTTGTAAGCCTGTCCGAGATCCTCAGTGGCATAAGCCTGACCAAGATCAAACACCTCGAGTGTGGGATGCCCGGTAGCAGCCTTGCAGAGCGCAATGGCACCTTTGGTGCTGACTCCAATCGACTGTAAGAGCAATCGAGCCAGATACGGTGCCTTGGGCAATGCTTGAGCTAGGGCATCTGCACCAACATCGCCAAGAGGGTTCGATGATGCATAAATGGACGTTAAGCCGCAGTGCGGCGACAGAAGGAACTTGCCAATGGCCTTGGCGCCTTCGGTCGAGATTCCACTGCCATTGAGGTAGATGTGCTTAAGAGGAAGTTTGGCACCGTCGGGCATCTTATGGTCAGCCAAGCGGTTGAACAGGTCTGCAACTCCTCGATCGCCCAGTTGGGTCTGATCAAGGTCGAGAGTTCGCAAATTCTTGACGCCAGTGATGAGGCGATACACATCCTCCGAAGCGTCTGCACCAAGTGGGTTACGCTTAAACCAGAGATTGGTGATGGCCTCGGATTTGACCATGGCATCGACTAGAATCTTGAAGCCTGGGCCGTTGATGCAATTTCCGGCGAGGTACCAAGTGTCCATCCGGTCAGGGAGGTCGGTGATGAAGTTGGCGATCTCATGAGCACCAACAGGGCCGATGATGTTATTGCCCAGAAGGAAATGTCGGACAAACTCATTAGGTCGGAGCGAGTCCATCAGCTTGCCAATGTGATCAGGGCCAACAACCATTTTGCAAAGATCCATGCGACCGTCTTCATAGACGACGCCTTTGCGAAACTCGGCGCCTTTGACACCATAGTAAGGCTCGCCTCGTCCACCGTCAAGCTCGAAGCCCTTCTCATGGCCATCCAGCTCAAAGGTGCCGCCGCTTTCAAGATGGTTCAAAAACGGTGCCAGATCGGCCTCGTGGGCGATCTCGACTGGCATAGGGATGGCCTGCACACCGTCCAGAGAAACCGGGCGCTTAGCAGGGTCCCAAACACCCTGGGACAGAATACGAGAAGCCCAAACAGGCGCGAAGGCGTACACGATCGGCATCATAGCGGATGATGGCTGTCAACGAACCCTCGTGGACAGGGTAGAGCATCGGGGCCATAGCCACAGCCAGGTTGTGTCGAGCAGACTTGCGGCGAGGAAGGTCATGGAGAGCATCGTCAATGCGATGCTTGTCCAGTGGCAGGGCAATGATCTCATCTACAGTAAATGGATGAGATGGGTTGAAGCCAGGTAAGTGCTGATCCAGATCAACGAGACTCTTTCGGCAGAGGCGAGCAAGGTGGATTGCCTCGTCCATATCTACCGCATCGGAGTGTTTGGCTGGCGGAGGTGATGCTATTGCATGTTGAGGTGGCAGTGAGAATGAGGGCGGCTCAATAGGTCGTAGCTCAGTAGCGGTAGACATGTTGGATTCGTGAGTATAGATTCTGGTGATAGTGTTGAACTTTGTGTCTTAGTGAATATGGTTTATACCAGTGGTAATGCACATATATATAGCTAGTTGTAAATGCAGGCTGGTATGCCGAAAGTCAACACCATTCAGCCTTACAGGTGGATCCTGATGTTTACTGCAAGGGTCCCGTCAAAGTCATGTCAAGCGCAGGGCGTCTAGGACTTTGATGCCAATTCTTGTTCCCACCTAATGAGTCAACCTTGAGCTTTGATCCATGCTACCCAAGCTTTCTATCAGCTTCTATTGGCCTCTTACAGGGAATATACTGGCTTCACATACCAGAGGTCCAAATCTGTGGCTGTGTGTCAGGGGATCCGTCTTGATATCGGTGAGATTCAAGCGGATGTTTAAGATCAAGATCGTGGCTCAGCTATGACTTGGTGTAGGCAACGACATGGAAGACCCACATCTGTCGATATAAGGGCGTGAGATCGACATTTTGTAGTAATAAGTCATATATCAGATGGCCTGCCTAGCCGGATATTCTTTTGTATTCCCATCTACATTGTACCTTTGGTGTTTTGATACTTGCAAGTGGTGTCTCTGTAGTGCTGGTAAAATTGGCGATAACTCCACCTTTACTCAAGGTCAGCGTTTCAGACAAGAGCGACCACAGCTCCAAGCAGGAAAGATAAACATCAAACATATTGATGAAAAGTTATTTCAAGCTCCTTTTCTTTTATGTCACTCCGATTTCATGTTTGCAGACTGATTCGTATCCCGATCTTAAAAATGTTCGTTGAGCTTCAGGGTAAGAATATTTGCAACACCAAATCTTCCTCATCTTCTCTCAACCTCGGCTTGACCTCTATATATCTACACCTGAACAGCGCAAATATAAATGGAGATTTATGCCATTGACACATGAAATAGAAACAGCTGCAAAAAGAAGAAACAAAGACATCATCAATTGACAAACAAAACAGTCAAGAACAGCAAAAAAGAAACAACATGAGGAACACCGGATTTGAACCGATAACCTTCAGGAATCCCCAAAGAAGCTGTTGGACAGCTCACTGGAATCTGACGCGCTACCGTTGCGCCAGCTCCCCAAGTTTTGATGTATGAAGCAGTTGTAAACTGGCCTCAAATGGATACGGTTTCAAAGAATCCTTGCTGTGAAAAAAATGTTTGTTGGTTGTTGAACAAAGAAAAAAAGAAATGGCGTCTTGAATAGACGAGGTTTGATGTGAGGAACACCGGATTTGAACCGATAGCCTTCAGGAATCTCCTACGACTGCCTAAGCAGTGCACTGGAATCTGACGCGCTACCGTTGCGCCAGCTCCCCACTTGTTGATAAAAGCTCAACTATTTGATTACATATACCTCGCACAACAAAGAACTCAGCTCAACTTCTAACTTTCGATTAGTCCCAACACACATTCATAGGAAGCAGAACACCGTAGATCATGCAGTAACACATCACGAGGTAATGCATAGGAAAATGGTAACACTCTGTCTCGAGGGGTTATGCTGCTATAATCCACCAAAGTAACATACATCCTCAGCATAGGTGGTAGTTATGCAAAGGCATATAGCCTACGTCCATCATGCAGCATAATTATGAAATCACTGACGAGAAGCTCAACGTAAACACAGAGAAACCGAATTCATAATCTAAAATTCAACCCCTCTGTACCAAGCATTTAATACATACATGGAGGTCATGGTCAAGCCTCCATACCTTCAAAAACCTTCCCTCCTTCTATCACCAAATTCCAGCAGACAACCACCATCACTCTAAGCGCCAAGCGGGTCATAAGTAGAAATTACAGCTAAGTAAGGCTGACGCTGTCGGCAAAGAGAAACTCTATGCTTTATCAAGGGCAGATCATGTACAAGCTCTACCAACTTAGATGCCATCGAAGTCACCGCCGAGGTCATCCTCGTCCAAATCTCCCTCCTGGATTTCCTTGGCCATCTCGCGCTCGCGCTCCCGAGCCTCCTGGGCGTTCTTCAGCTCCAAACGATGTTGGTTCATAGGAAATCGCATTGCCTAAAGGGAAAATGATTAGCTTGATTCAGTTGTGATAAAGTCTGGGAGAACAAACCTTGACACTCTCGTCGTGGAGAGCTAGACAAGCCCGAATTCGGTCGTGGAAAGCCTCGCCGGGCTCACGGGTAGCATAAACATCACCAACCTCCTTGCTCTTCATGAAACCCCTCTCGCGGTCCAGAGTAGCTTCAATCACACCATCACGAATAGCCTTGGCAACAATGTACTCCGCCGACTCCTCACTACCGAGCTGAAGACGGATGCAGATATCGCGAAGGGAAATGCGGGAGTAAGATAGAGACATCATACGGATACCTGTCTTGATAACATTTTGTCGTAGACGCAAGATGAGGCTGTAGGTACCGTCTCGTCGGAAGGTATCGGCATGATCGGCAATCGCTGTCTCGAAGTCCTCAAGGTTGCCAACTCGGACGGACTTAACCAGCAGGAAGTAAGGCTGAAGAGCAGCCTCCATAGTTGGCTGACGGAACATAGCTCGATCAGGAATATCACCCATCAATAGCTCCACAACATAAAGCAGCTTGGTAGCTGTCTGGGCAAAGCCGAGGGCACAGCTACTGGAAGGAGCCTTGCGGGTGGCAGCAGTAAGATGCTCGTGGGCCTCAGTGTAGCGTAGCTGGATGGCGCGGATACGACCAAGGTAGTAAAGGAATCGCGCTACCTGGTTGTTGACAGCATTCTCGGGGAACTGGGTGTGCGAGACGAGGAGATCAGCCTGGTTAATGTGCGAAGTAGAGAGATAGTTTCGCAGCAAAAGGACGATGACGGAGGCTTGTGTGTCGACATCCTTTCGTAGCACGGCGGTACGAAGGGCGGCGAGGAGAGTAGGTCGAATGGCGACAACGGGAGACTGAGGAGAAGGAGGCAGAGGGGCGATCTGCTCGCAGAAGACAGAGTAGTAGAAGTAAACCTTGGCAGACAAGGAGTCAAGTGTGCGGCGGTTGAGAGACTGGACTCTGTCTGAAAGGTACTTGGAGAAATCAGCTCCACGCTGGAACTGCTTTGAGTCGAACAGGTAAACTTGGACGAGGATACCGAGGAAGATATCGATCTCAGGAATGAGGTCCTTAGCCTCCTTCTTGGAACCGTTCTTGCCAGATGCCTTGGCCTCGTCGACTTCCATCTCTGAACTCTGTCGGCCAAGAGTAACATCCTCGCGCTCAATGGCAGCCAGCAGGGGCTTGACAATCGCACTCGAGTTGGCGGTAGCAGGGAAAGCCTCAGAGATGACCTGGGCAATGATATCGGGTGTCAAGCGCTTGCGGATAATAGAGATAGATCGCAGGGCGCGGAGGGAGAATCTGGCGTCGAAGAGGGCCACGGCGCGGTCTATCAAAGCAAAGTTGCTCTTGATATCTGTCAAGATACAATGTTAGTGCTTGTTCTGGAGGACCTTGTTGAGCTCCCACGAACTTGCTACTCACCTGCGATAGTCTGCACAACAGGGTCAACCTTGACCTCCTCCTCTTCCTCCTCCATTGATACATCGCCTTCAGCATCAGCCTTGTCAGACTTTTTCGACTTGGAAGGAGGAACGACAACAGTCATCTCTTCGTCGCCATCCTTGGCAGGCTTCTTGCCCTTGGACTTTGTGCTGTCCGTCATCTCAACGTCCTTGTTTTTCTGAACGTTGTTGTTGCCGGCAGGCTTCTTGCCGTTATTGTTTGGTGCCTTGCTGGGCGGCATGGTGAATATCTATGTATGATGCGAAGAGATGAGGCTGAAACTGTCGGAGCAGGAGCTGCAGATGACGATAGTGGGAGAAGACCGAGTCGTGCGCGCGCCTCAACTTGTCGCAGCGTTTGCGTAATTGAGTGTGGAGGAAGTTGGCGATAGCAGTAAACGAGATACTGGGGGTGCGGGTACGAGATCGGTGTCGAGGAGGGAGACCGGCGAAAAGGTCAAGACAATGATCGTCGTGGTGTTTGGTAATGAGATTGGGAGAGGTTCAAGGTGATGCTGCTGCTCGCTGCTTGGTGCTAGCTCACCAAATGGGGACCGGGGCTTGAGTACTGGCCAGTGGACAACTGAGGCGACAAGGGAAAGAGACTGAATGGGCAGTAAAGATACCTGGTTCAGGCGGTGATCTAGCTGCACAGGCAGGTATCGCCAAAGTACTCGGGAACTAGGGCGTTACCTTAATAAGCTGGCATTCTGTGGGGCACGAGCAGTGACGTCTCGATGTTGCCTGCAGCTAGTGGTTTGCACAAAGTACAAGGTGATATTTATGCAAGCTTATACAGAATGTGCAAGACTCATCAGCTACATGATAAGAGAATCACAACCACTGAAAGTCATGATTTGAGTGAGGACCAGATTTGTATCTCTCATATATGTCTATAATTAACTTTGTAACTTCACCAAGCCTGATATAAACATGTAAATTCAGTAATGAACAGATAACGAGTGTCAACATCCTTACTTCAGAGCGTACAGTTGTTTGATATTACAACATATATGCAGCCACTGTCACAAGTAGAGTGTAAAGTCAACGGTGGAGGTTGTCATTTATTGGTCCTGTAGTTGATACCAACTATTTCAGACGCTGCTTTCTTCTTCTCCTATGCATTCTGGTACAGCTTCTAATTAAAAAAAGCATCCTCCATACCGGGTAAGAAATCCCTATTACGCCAGTTTGTCCCGGGTATACACCCAACGCCTCTTGAGAAATACAAAATACCCTGCATTGCTTTTCATTTTCTTCTTGTTTATCCGGGTTTCTCTGGTTGACCACATCTTTTCCACGTTGCAAAAGGATTTACTCGCCCTTACCGGGCATAACCTTGGCAGCCTGGACTGCACTCATCTTCGCTATCCAAGCTGTGGATGGCATAATCTTTCGAACGGTGCGGAGTTCGTCGGATGAGTAGCCGGGCACACGGATGTTGTAAGTTCGCTCCAGCACAAGTTGAATATCGCGGATCTCGAGCACCTTAGACCCGCGCTCCTTTGAGTTTCGACAAGCCGCATGCAAAACGCTGTCAACAAACGAGTCTGCCATGTTCAAAACGTTCTGAGATCAAGTTAGTCATTTTATCTGAGTTACAGGAAGCGATGGTGCTTACCTCTTCCACTTCAGGGGTGAGTAGGTTTCCGTCCTGCCCTTCGGCGGGTCCTCCACACACTTGGCGGACAAGCTCATCCAGTTTCTTCTTGCTCAAAACGTGATCTCCCTCAGCTTCATGGTTATACGCTGGGATTCTAGCCATCGCAGGTTGGTTCATGACACCGCCGAGAGTTCCGCTTCCTTGAGACATTGTAGGGCGACCGGCGTTAACTCCGCCTCCGACAGAAACACCTTGGGGCACAGCAGTGGCCTTCTCAGGAAGCACCTTGGGGATGGGCATCTTGGATTGCATTGGGGTTTGTTGAGGCTGCGGGGGATGTGCGTGAGGGTGGCCTTGTGGAGTAGGTTGCTGAGGAACATTAGGCCCCATAACGCCTTGATTCACAGCGCTGCCTGGTGTTGGTGTTCCAGCTTGGGCAGGGCGCCCAGGCACCTGCGCACTTCCAGGAGTGTTGAGAGTTTTGTTAGCCATCTCGATAGCAGCAGAGTGACTGAGAGCTCGCTGAGGGCCCTGAGGACCTTGCGCTGTCGTTGGAGCCGCTGCGGCAGCAGCCTGTTGCGGCGTTGGGATTCGCGGAGCATTCTGCTGGGTTGGTGTTCCAGCCTGTGCTTGCACGGCTGTTTGTGACATCGCGGGGTTAATAGGGGCAGTGCCAGGTTCTTGTTTGACCTGGACTGGTGCCTGTGGCAGTTGTTGCTGGCCGGGCTGGGGAGTTCCTTGTGCCGGGCGCACTTGCGTTGGTGCCGCTCCTTGCGTTCCGTTAACAGGGGAGGCTCGGCTCACGGCTGCTAACTGTTGTTTGGCAACCTCGACAGCAGCGTTTACAGGTGGAGCGTTATTCTGGGTGTTGTTTTGAACTTGAGATGTTTGAGGCTGAGTTTGAGGGGCCTGTGGTTGCGACTGTTGCGGTTGAGATTGCTGTTGTTGCTGCTGGGGTTGCGACTGCTGCTGCTGGGACGCTTGTTGCGGTTGCTGCTGCTGCGCTTGACCCTGTGGCTGTTGTTGCGCTGCAGTCTGTTGACCTGCAGCAGGTTGCTGATTTCCTTGCTGAGAAACCCTCGCCGCGTTTTGCGCCGCTTGTGCCTGTGCTTGGCCAGTGCCTTGCAGGTTACCTTGCTGCTTGCGCACGCTGTCAACCCACTTGTGAGCATCGGAATGCGCCTTCAGTTGTTGGTCTTTCCTAATCTGAAGTTGCCTCATCTCGTCTTCCTTGAAGGGTTGTCCAGCTGCATTTCTGTCCGCAATGAGCTTATCGATTTGGGCAACCTTCGACTTGCTATTATCCATCGTCATAAGAGCTCTCGTGTAGCGCTGTTTGATCTCCTCCACCCACTTATTCGCGTCGGCACCTGATTTTTCGGCTACTTGCGCAGGAGCTCGGAAGTTGATCTTTGCAACGTGCTGGAGAATGTGCTCGGGAATTCGATTCTGCTGAGCAGCGGCACCAGCTGCTTGATTACCAGCTACAGCACCGGCCGTTTGTTGTTGCGGTTGAGCCTGAGCTGTCGTTTGTCCGGATGGGTTCTGTTGCAATTGCGGACGAGCCTGTTGGTTTTGCGCATTTTGATTCTGTTGCATCTGGGTGCGTCGCTGTTGGATTTTTGTAATAAGCATTTTGGAAAACTCTATGATCTTTTGACGCGCGGCAATATGCTCTTGGCTGTTCTGAGGAGAATTATTCGCCTTATTCCAAAGCCCTTGCAAGCCTGCCTCATACTTGGACTTCTCATCCTCACTCAAGGTCGGCAGACTTCTTATTTGGTTGGGCTGATACATCGGCGGCGGTCGCTGTTGAGCTGCTCCAGCTGCACCTTGCTGTTGGCCCTGGCCCTGCTGGCCTTGCTGTCCCATCTGAGGATTCATGATGGCTATGGTAGACAGGTGGTGTTGGGCGTCGAGGTCGGAATAGATGCGATGGACAGGGTGAGCAGGACAATATTGGTACACAATCTGTACAAAATACCAAGAAAATTTGATGTTCTTCTTTCAAATATAAGAAATCGAGGAACAATTTGTTTCGATATTAAGACAACAACCTTAAAATGTCGAACCTGGTGTCGAGCTTGAGCCGCGATTCGTGAATAAGTGACACTCCACGGACAGACGCGTTAATGAAGTCAGTACCACGACTCGGAAAAACGTCGGTCTAATACTTGTATGTCCTGTTAGTGCATGTCCAGCTGGAGGCTGCCAGGGTGTCAAGGGTGTCTCTCTTGTTGGGAAACACAGCTTCCCTTTCCGTGTGGGGTCAGATTAATGGAAATCGTCTAATACGACCTGGGTTAGATTCCAAGCACTTGTCATGAAAGTCTGGAGCTAGGTAAGGATTGTGCTGTAGAGCATTGTACCAAATGTTTGTTGTCATCTGTCATCATTGGTTTTGCGGACCTCAAGGTAACAAGCTGTATTTTAGTTGACCATGATTCGCTTTAAATGAGTGTGCCGAAGACATGAAACCTTATTGATACCGTATGTATCATTCAATGGCACTGATGCAAACACTTTGCGGAGTTCTCTAAGATGGAACCTTCACAGCGGACAGCTTAAGAATTGTCTATTGGTGGGCTAGCGTTAACTATTGCCACCTCGAGCTTTAGCCAAGGTACAGCAAATGAGGAGTTAACGGTAAAAGCTCTGGCAAGGTAAAGAAAGTCGTAGGCAAGGAAGGGTATATCAGTAAGCTCCAATATCCCCAACGATACAAGGGTCCAGCTTTTCCGCCAGGGTCTTTACTTTATCCATTTCATCTCCACCATAACCCGTCCATCCATCTTCTGTGTTGTGTTGTCTTCTTCTCTTCTTTATTCCTTTCCGGCCCATCTCCCTCAAGGTTGACATTGATTCGCTTGCGCCATTAATTCTCATCTCCGCCAATATGCGCTTCTCATCGTCTACTGTTCTCGCGGCTCTGCCCGCTCTGGCTGCCGCCCAAGACTCTCCCGTCGACCAGTACAAGGCCCAGTTCCAGAATGTCATCGGCCAGTTCGCTTCCTACATTCCTAACCCAGGCCACCATGACCCCGTTGCTGCCGCCGAGGCCAAGGCTGGTTCCATGAGACTCAACGTCTTGACTCTGGAGAACTGGAAGGAGACTCTCTACGAGCCCGTTGCCGCTGGCGCCACTACTCCCGAGGAGTGGTGGTTGCTCGTCTCTGGTGGAAACAAGACCTGCTATGGTATGTTTGATGATCTGCGATACAATCGCGACCCTCTATGTGTTATGCGACTTGTACTTGTCGCAATATCTGGTGGATTGACCTCAAGCTAACGTATGATCAAAGGTCGATGCGGAACTGTCGAACAGGCCTTCAACGAGACCGCTGCCAAGTTTGCGCTCCTCGAGAACACCCCCCATATGGCCTACTTGAACTGCGACAACCAGCCCATTCTGTGCAACTCCTGGTCTGCCGGCCCTCCTAGCCTTTACATCTTCGATGTGCTTCCCGAGCCCGCGCCCGTCGAGATCTACAGCAAGAGACTCAACTTGACCACCACCACCTCCGACACTCTGGTTGCTCTCCAGGCCTCTGGTAGCAAGGACGAGTTCCATCGCCATACCAGCGCTTGGTTCCACCCCACCAACGGCAAGCTCGCCGAGTATGGCCTGGCTATTCCCTTCGGTTACCTTATGTGGGCCATGAACCTGATTCCCAACTGGCTCTTCATGCTTGTTGTGTCCTTTGGCAGCCGCGCCATGATGTAAGTTTTCCTTGCCCACCGATGATCCATGATGCTAATGTTGGATAGGTCTCGTCGCATGCAAGGTGCTCCCGGTGCTCCTCAGGCTGGTGCTCAGCCCGCCCGATAAATTGATGCTAGCAATTCCAGGCAAGGTTGATCGGAGCCATATTCAGTTGGTCGATATCTAGTAATAAGTATCGAGTTATTTGAGTAGATTCAAAATGTATCATGACTTTCGTACGAGCTCGTTATGGCGTTTGCGGAGTGACCTGTAATCTATGATTTGTTCTCGCAAGCTGCTTCCACGTGTTTGAGACCGTCGATAACTTCGTCGCTTATTTGTCCATTGGAGAATTTGCCGTATCGTAGATCGCTCAGTGCACCTACAGTTTGTTGCACAGACTCAAGCAGTGCCGCCTCTTCCTCTTGTAGCTTTTCAATCTCGGCTTCCAGAGCGCCTACTGCACCCTCTAGCTCGGGGATGGCAGAATGAAGAGTATGCTTGGCACTTGCTGCCCCTGACGCATCGCCAAATAGCTAAATATCCGATAAGCAATTTTGATCGAAGCCGTAGTTAGTGAAGGCACACACCGCGCGCTCTATTTCAATTTCAGCGTCTATGTCTTCCCGTTCTGCCTCACGTTTGGCCCGTACGACTTCCCGCCGCATTGCAAGGCCTCGTTTTGCTTCATCGGCGATGTTTTCGGCAACTTGGTCCAGAACGTCTGCACGCTGCGCTTGCAGATCTCGAAACAAAGATCGAACTTGCGGTGACGATTGTAGCGGCCGAGGGAAGAGTGCCTTGAACTGCTCAAGTGTTGTGATGGCGGTCAGAGTTGAAGGTTGGATAAGGTAATTAGCCAGGAGTTCTGCTTCTGTAGGCGCCATCTTAAAGTCTCCAAAGCCAGTGCGGTCGAGAATACCAGGTTCGAAGTATTTGCTGCTGGTAGATTAATGATACGGAAAGTGCCCTGTGGTGGTAAATGTAACCAAGACGCGATGAGAAACCCAAGCGCGTTAAGTGCCCCACCACCTCCTTCGCTTGGTTAATAAGAACAGGGGAAGATAAAGACTTACATGAGCCAAACGAATCTACCTGGAGCACATTCAATACTATAATATCACGATGTGATACATCGCGGAAAAAACATCAACTTGGTACAATTGTCCAAGGCGTCTTTTGGCCATGAATAGGTGACAAAATAGCATATCAAGTTCATATTACAAGGCTTGAAAAACAATATGTCCTCGCGGCATCCATTTGACAGCCTTATTCTGTCATCCAAGCATTGTAGTTCTCGTGAGTCAAAACATTATACCACAATCCGTTGTTCTGTATTGATCTCTACATAGGTGTACAAAACAAATGAGGTCATTTAGCCACCTCCAATCGAGTTTAAAGCAAAATAGCCGCTGAATCAAATAACTTTTTATATCTCAAGATCTCGCTTAGACCTTGGGAGCTCCAGGTGCAGCTGCAGGAGCACCGCTACCACCACGGCCACCAACAGCACCAACAGCCTCGAGCTGAGCGGCTGTCAGGTTGACCTCAGGCAGTGGTCGACCTCTTCCTGTAGGCCAAGAGATGAATCCTGTCTCGGCCAGGAAATGGAGGAATCGCCCGACATCCGTTCGCGAAATACCGTATCCAGCGCTCTCATCGATACCGGTCCAGTGCTCAGCATCTTCCTTAAGAATCTTGACGGTGTTTGAGTCGTCAAGTTCAGGCGCTCTGGTGTTGGCGGGGAGATCATTGACAACGAAGTGGTACAAAGGCATGAGAGCGAGCTGCTCCTGATCCTTCTCTTGTCCACCGGCTGTAACATAGCTCTCTAGCTCATCCACCCACTGGCTGTAACTGACCTCGGGGGCTTTGTAACCATAGTACTCAAGGCTGGACAGGTACTCATTCATTCTCAGGCGAGGGTGACCAGTGATATGGGCAACATGAACACCGCCTGGTAGAGGGTTAAGTGCGCAAGCCACGACAACGTTGGCGACGTGGTTAACAGGCACTGCGTTAACTGTGTTGACGATGCGAGGACGGACACCAAGCTGAATTGAACTTTTGAGCATTCGAACGAGAAAATCGTCCGAGTTCGACACACCAGTCTCAATATCACCCAGAATGTATCCAGGTCGTGCAACTGTACCGCGAAGACCCCTCCTTCCGGCCTCACGAACCAGCTGCTCCGAGACCCACTTGGTCTGACCATAACCCGTTCCAAGACCTGTGCGACTGCCCATCATATCATCCTCCTCAGAGATAGCACCCTGACCGGTGCTGATCTGCTTGTCAGAGAGGTTGATATAGTGCTCAGTGTCAAGCACACTGGTTGAGCTGACAAAGGTAAAGGTCTTGGGCCTTCCTTCGTTGCAGAGCTTCATGGCGTCGATAGTAGAGTTGACGTTGGCGGTCTTCATATCCGAATAACGCTTAACCCAGTGGACAGCAGCGCCGTTATGAATAACCACATCGACAGTTTGAGCCAAGTTGTTCCACACGGATGACTCTATTCCAAGGTTTGGTTGACCCAGATCACCAACAACGCAGCTCAGGCGAGGCTCCCACTCATCTCGCCACATACCATAACCCTCGAGCGAGCGGCGGAGACGAGAAAAGGCACCCTTAGGGTCCTTGACACTTCGAACATGTGCGATCAGTTGAATTTGACGACTGGTACGCGAGAGGATATCCTTGATCAAGTAGGCACCCAAGAAGCCAGTAGCGCCGGTAAGGAAAATAACAGGCTTGGCCTTAGCACGGATGGTAGACGGATCGGCGGACTGATACTTCGAAGGAAGGCCCTTGAGTAATTCGTCAAGGGATCGGGCATACTCGGGGTTCTTGTCTTCCTCTGACTCAGTAGCGCCGCCCCTGAGTTGCTTGTCGATCTGGGCACTGAAACCAGCAAGACTGGGATGCTCGTACAGAGTGTTGATGGAGACATTTGCACCAATTATCTTTCGCACAGACAAGAGCATTTGCTGGGCAAGCAAACTGTGACCACCAAGGTCGAAAAAGTCATTCTGAGGAGCAATGGTCTTTGCATTAAGACCAGGGATAAGTTCAGACCAGTTTGTGGCAACTGCTTGCTCTGTAGGAGAGAGGCTCTCCCAACGCTTCAGGTCCTCGTCGGTGGCATCCTCGGTCTGCTCTGCAATATCAGGGAAGGGCAGATTAGGCTTGTCGACCTTTCCGTTGGGGTTCAGAGGAAGCTTCTCCAGGGTGATCTGGCAAAATATTAGCTACTAGACCACTCCACAAGATCATGCTTGAGACTTACATAAGTAGTAGGAACCGCATAAGCAGGCAATCGACCCTTCAGGTGGTCACGGACCTCAGTTTGCATACGTCGGAAACGCTTAAAGTAAACCTTGGTAGGTCCGATATCGGTCCCCTCATCCTCGACGTCTTCCAGCCCTTGGACCTTGAGGAACTTGGGCCACTCATTCAACTCAGGGACGATGTAGCTGACGAGGATTGGCTCCTCGTTCTTGTCTCTTCGCACCAGGGTCTGTCCGGGAGTTAGCAAACTGGCTTATTAGTGCATCTGTTCCGCGAACGTACCTTGCAGTCTCGGATCAAGGGGTTCTGGCTGAGGTTGTTGTCGATTTCGTTAAGCTCGATTCGGAAACCACGAATCTTGACCTGATCATCAGCTCGGCCGGTAGCCTCAACGTCACCAGACTCAAGGTAACGTCCCAAATCGCCTGTGCGGTAAAGACGATCACGGGGAACATAATCCTTGAGTCGAGGGTCGTCCTTGCTCAGGTGCGCGTAGGCCTCAACCCACTTGTTTGGCTCAACAAACCACGAGCTCAGAAACTTGTCCTTGGTCAAAGTTTCCGCATCTTTGTATCCCTCGGCAAGACCAGCGGCTCTCACGTAAATCTCACCAACTTCGCCAACTCCGCAAATCTTGTTGCGGTCCTGGCGATCGATGACCAGAAGCTGCACATTCTGCATACCCTTACCAGCGGGCACGGTGTTACCGAGAGAGTCCAGAGCATTGGGGTCCTTGGAGTGGCTTGGGATCTCAAAATAGCTGACAGCTCTTTGCGTCTCGGTGGTTCCATACATGTTGACGATGTTGGCGTTCTTGGCGAGCTTTCGAAGTTGTCGACAATCTCTGGTGGTCAGAACATCACCAACAAAGAATGCCCTATCGAGCGATGGAAACTCGGCAGTTGCACCTCCAACCAGGATTTGACCCATGGCTGGTGTCAAGTGAGTGACGGTAGGCTTGTGCTCTCGCATCCATTCTGCAAGCTTTTCGTGCTGAATGTCCTCCTTGGAAGGTACGAGCAATTGACCCCCTAAGAACAACGGAGTGAAGATATCCCTCTGCACTGGATCATGGGCAATTCCTGATAACATGGTCACCCTGGATTCGGATGACAAGTTGAATCTCTTGGCCATCCAAGGGAAGTATCTGCAGAGACTGTAATGGCGTCCCAAAACACCCTTGGGTTTGCCTTCCGAGCCACTGGTAAAACTGAGTGTAGGGTTATTGTCAGGACCAATGACGACGTCAGGACGAGATTCAGATCTGGACCGAACTTGAGCAAAAACATCAACCCCGTTGACCTCGCCTCCAGCCAAGAAACCATCATCTCCGATCCTTAATGAAGGAACTTCGGTCTTGAGGTTTAGCTCTTCGTCAATGTATCTCCTGACGAGGGGAGCAAGAGGTCCAGCTTCATCAGATGCCTTTGCGATGTTGACCAAAGCACAAGGTTGAGCAACCTCGAGATAGATCTGTTGTCTGCTAGGAGGGTATAGAGGGTCAAGAACTGAGAAGGTAGCACCCGAGGACTTTTGTATTGTTAGCAATTTGTGGCTAATGTGCTCTGGTAGACTATAAAAGACTCACAAGAGTGCCCATGATAGCCACAACCAAATCGACAGAGCGATGAGCCCAGATCATAACGACATCACCAAGCCCAACCCCATTCTCGGCCAAGTGATGCGCCAACAGGTTAGAAGCTTCATAGATCTGCTTGTATGTGAACCGTCTCTCAGGGGTGTCTGAGGTCTTGGTTTCTACTACACAAGTCCTCTCTGGATGTGCTTCTGCATTTCGTGCAAAGTGTTCAACGATACTGCCATCATAGGTCCAGTCCAAATCGGCAGTGGGATCGGGAATGTTAGCCATGATGAAGAGCTGCCTGAAGCAATGGCTATTATAAGAGGTGTAACGAAGTCAGGCAAAATGTTTGGGAGCGAATTGATGTTTTTTAAAGGTGAATAAGTAATTCACTGCATGCACGTTCAAGAAACTTTTTGGTGAGAGGCGGCGTCCAATTGACTCACGTCAGTTCCAATGCGTTTGCGAGATCGGCCCAGCGGGGGCTTTTCCCCAGTGATTTCATGTCTTGAGAAAAGTTAGAGAGCCTTGGAGGGGTAGCCTTACCTCCACTAATACCTAAATATGACTAAACCCACTTTAGACTTGTTCTCTTATCTTATCGTATCCAGCAAACCGGGTCCTATTAAACGAAGAAGGGGCTATCCTATGTCCTGTCGCGTCGTCGCGTGCAGTAAAAAAAGAAGAAGGACACCCCCCTGTTTCCTCATTAACGCGACTAACTTAGTAGGTACTACCCGTACTTTAGTAGATTGTACCTACCGTATCCGTACCCATGGATCTTACCTTACCGTAATTGTTGATGCAAAACTAAACCGTGCTCCATGTATCAACCTCTTGTAATCGCTCTCATCTCTTCTTGTTCATTGATTTCACACTTGGAATATTGTCAGCACTCATCAGAGTTGTTCTATTGAACTTAAACGGGACAAAGCATAATCCATACTTATTCAGAGGGTATCCGTGCTTAGATCAACATCTTCTTGTTGTCCCTTCTTTTCTTTCCCCTTGTCTTGTCTTCTCTTCTCTACCCTTTCTTGTAACTTCAACTCTTCTCTTCTCTTTCAACACTCAACAATCACATCACAACCACAACCGACATCATCATGGCTCCTGCGCGTCAGCAACCGGCGCCTCCGCCTTTTAGCAAGGATGAAAAGGTTCTTTGCTTTCATATGGACATGCTCTATGAGGCTAAAATCATGGACGTTCAGCAAGGTGAGAAGCCCAGTGATGGCTACAAGTATAAAGTCCATTACAAGGGCTGGAAGAATACCTGGGACGACTGGGTACTAGTTGACCGCATCCGGCCTTTTGATGATGAACACAAGGAGCTTGCGGCACAACTTCATGCGCAAGTGAAGCATAATATTCAACGAAGCACGAAACAGCCCAAGAAGGGCCTTAGAAGTGGTGCCGAGTCTGCTAGAGTCAGCGAGGAGAGATCGGGGTCCGCTACTGTTCAAGGAGGTAGAGGAGGCAGACGAGGAAAAGATTGGGAACTTGAACAGGTAAGAATTCTCCCCTCTTTGTTCTGACCTACTACGTTGTTCGACCGCCTTTTACCATTTATATGAGTGCTGTTCCCAGAAGTTCTGGGCTGTTGTTACATGCATGTTACGGTCGAGTTGGCCGTATTAAGACTGCCCAAAGGCTGTGGTGTCTGCACTTCGTTACCACCCCGTAGCTGGAGAGTTTGCGGCTGTCAGAAACTTTGGGTTTCCGTCTAGCTAGATATATGAGGCCACATCAAAAACTAAGGGATACTTGTTTGCGATTCAGATCTAGTATTGGCCCGCAGCCTCCCTACTCTGGCACTGGCACACTCATCCCCCATATTCCATTATAACCTGTCACTGCTGTGCCCTTCTTCAAACATCAGAAGCTGCCGCTTTGCCAGGCATATTTCTGAATTCTACTTTACATATTCATTCCCCTCCGCACCTGCTAGTCGTGCTCTTTCCCTGAAGATTGTCAACTTCACATTTCTTCACCATAACACTCCCCCCTTTCCCATTGATATCTTCCCCCAAGTCCTGGGCTTTCTCTCAGCACGATGCAATCTCCCAGCAAGCCACCTGCTTCGCAGAGCTTTCCCATTCCAAACACGCGGGAATCTCCTGAAGAGACTCAATCTAGCGAGTCTGTCGATTCCGGCGAGCCGTCTAGAAAGGTCTCGCTTGAGAGCATCCGCGAGCCCAAAGACCCCCTCACAGCCCTCCCTTCAAAGAAGCATCGCTATGTCACCGATTCAGGCAAGCTTGTCCAGGATAACCGCTACACTGTTCCACTCGCCGCCAATGTCGAGACTAAGCAGCCTCGTCGAAAGCCCCCCAAAACCTCCAAGACTTCCAAGACCTCCAAAGCCCCCAAGTGTGGTACCAAGCGAAAGCAAAGTCCAAGTGACGAGCTTGGACAACCTGATGAACTAGAGACGGTAGATACCTCCCTCGAGTGACTCTGACCTTAGCCTTGCCCAATTCCACTCTCATTTTCAGCAGTCGTAGCCATCATATGCTAACTACTTTACAGGAAGACTCCTTTCACAACAAGCCCATGATCAACTTACCTGTGCCTGATCACATTCAAGCGATGCTTGTAGATGACTGGGAAAATATCACTAAGAACAACCAACTGGTTCCCCTCCCTCACTCCAAGCCAGTCGCCAAGATCTTCGAGGACTACCTTGCCCATGAGCGTCCCCATCGTGAGGAGGGATCCTCCAGTATGGATATCTTGGAGGAAGTTGTAGCAGGTCTCCGCGAGTACTTTGAGAAGGCTCTCAGCAGAATCCTACTCTATCGGTAAGTCTTATTCCTAATGGTCATGAGTCATTGCTGACTTGCCCAGCTTTGAGCGCCACCAGTACATGGAGATGAAGAAGCTGTGGGAAAATACCGAATCAAACCCCGAATACACCAATGTCTGTGACGTCTACGGTGCTGAGCATCTTGCTCGATTGATAGGTACGAGCGCCCCTAATTTTCTTCAACTTTCTTCCACTGACTTATCCTAAAAGTGTCTCTCCCTGAGCTGTTGGCGCAGACCAACATGGACCAGCAGTCCGTGTCACGCCTCCGCGAAGAAATTGGGAAGTTCAATGTTTGGCTGGGACGTAACTGCGAAACCTACTTCGCCAATGAGTACGAGACGCCGGCTCAAGACTACATTGACAAGGCTCGCAGCTTCTAGAGGCCCAGTAGTCAAGCCCAACTCGATGTTTGATGCACGGTCTCCATGGTCTTGACTTTTACAGAACGGTCCTATTGGCCATTCAGAGCTGCGAGGTGCACCATGACACCAGAAGGTAGACGAAAGATTTTGTTATCGTGACCCTTTTTGGGGTAGAGAATCACGATTGGAGTAATGTGATACTAGTACGTCGCTGCAGGATATGATGGCTTGCGTCGTCTGCATTCTTTTCTTAACTAGTATTGTATTCTTGGTGTTTAGGGTCTCAATTGTCAGAACTTGTATTATTCCATTCATGCTCCAGAGAATCCGTGATCGATGCATCTTGAGTAGTCTTTCCTTGGTTTATTTTGATCGTGACTCTATCATTCCCTCCGAACTGCCACCATGTTTTGTACAAAGGTCATTACAGTATAGTACACATTCCCATTTATTCTTTCCTTGGTATCGATTTCATTTCTCTCCCCTTACATTCTTGGCACAGCCCTCTCAACGTAGAATCCAGCATCCGGTGTCCGCGCAGCCTTGACTTCTCTCTTGCTCAGCACGCGGTCCACCTCTTCCACACGGACAAGCTCCTTGACCTTGAGAATCATACCGGCGAATTGGGGGTGCACGGGGTGGAAGACGGTCTGCATTCGACGGCGCAAGCCCAGCGCGGCGAGGACACCTCTTGTGCGCTCGGGAAGACCGATAGCTGAGCGGTGGAGGGTGATGCGGAAGAAAGACATGATTTGTTCGTTTGCTTGGTCGGTCGATGGAAGGAGGAATTGGAGCGCTAGGTCTGATGTTCTGTGTAAGAACAGAGTCGAGTAGAGGGAATAGGATGATAGCTTACCATTAAAGCCTTTCAATTGCACTCGTAGAAATTTCCTAGAAAATCACAGCAGCCCGCCTTTCACGTCTCGTCAGTCGTCGTCAAAGAAGCATGAGCTCAGGGTCGGCGTCAAAATCCACGGAGGCGCCAAACCTTTCCGGGATCGGGACTAATTCCGAATCCACTGGGTCATGTGATTACCCCCAGAACACTTCACTTGATGAACATGTAAGTGGATTAACAAGGGATTCTAGCTAATACTTGTAATAGAAATAAGTAGAGACATTTTCTTATATATAATTAAGAACTAAGAGTTTATCAAATTTATTCGCCGATAGATGTATGATAGTGACATGTTACATCTACTATACTTTACAAAACTTTCAATCAACATAATCACGAGAACAAATTCATCGAATCCATAAGTGTCATCAAATCTATTAGCTTTCTTTCCGTCATAGCTCAAATACTGCCATACACGGCTTGTTCGACCGTTATTGGTCCCAAGCCCTAGAAATTGCAACGCACCACATGGTAACCGTTTGTCTATCTTGCAGTACAAAATGTCGTTCATGACAGGTATCTCATTTCATACCCGCATCATCCCTTTATACTATACCACCCGATTGGTAAAGCTTTTATCCTCTTAAGCCTGGAACTCCTGCGCCTTGCTCTCCTCCCACTTTCCAGGGACAAGAGCCAAGGGGACAATACCAGAAACGTGCATCTCAGGGCCAAAGATCTTGGCGTCGAGGCCGAGCTCCATGGTGGCAGCCTTCATGTTCTTGAGACCCTCCTGGTAGTTGGGACCGGCACGTCGCACCCAGATAGAGGTCTTGTGCTCGATCAGCTTAGGAGCAAAGTCTCGCAGCGCTCGGATGACACCCTTGAAGGTGCTGGCGACGTTGGTGAAGTTGGCGATACCACCACCGATGAAGAGGACCTTGCCCTCCTCGGTCTGAGGAGCGCGGAGGAGGAGGTCGAGGACGGTTCGGGCGTAGTGGTAGGTCTGAGACTCGGTGGGAGCACCAGAGTACTCACCGTAGTTGGCAAGCTCATCAGCGAAACCAGCAGAAGCAATGGCATCAGCGTAGACAACGGAAGCACCACCACCAGCAACCAGTGTCCAGATACGGCCCTTGGCGTTGAGGACGGTAAGCTTCAGAGAAGCACCGGTCTTAGCATCGAGATCAGCAATGTAAGCCTCCTCCTTGGTGAGTTCACGACCGAAGGGAGCAGGGAACTCCATAGGGGGGCCAGCATCGATGCTGATCTTGCCGTCGGCAGAGGGAGCAATGTTGGTAAGACCCAGAGCGGCGGGAGATCGAGCAATAGCCCACTTGACACCACACTCGAAATCAGCAGTCTGGTCGAGCTTGGCAGCAAGATCGAGGAAGTGGACCTCAGCAGAAGTCTTGTCCTCGTTGGGGATAACAACGAGAGGGTTGATCTCGAGGTATGTGAACTGGCAGTCGACGTAGACGGCATATAGGCGGGTGATGAAGTCGACGAGGACGTTGTGAACACCCTCGGGGACCTTCTTAAGGAGAGTGGCAGCGATCTGCTCGTTGGAAGGGTACTCAGCGAGGTCGACGGGGATCAAGAGCTTCTCAGCCTTAGCGTCGACATCACCGACATCAACACCACCCTCGTGGGTGAAGAGAATCCAGTCGCCCTATAGATGGATAGATTAGTAAGTTGATCTTGTTGTTTTGGTAGTTGGGAGTAGACCGGAAGATCGGTCACGTATGTGGATTGCCGTCGGAAGGGTCCGAGAAGGCCAGGGGTTGGCTTTGAATAGTTCTGATCGCGGCATCCGTTCGCCCGTCTCGGTTCAATGAATGATCGCCGATATAGGTACAAACCAGCCCACAATTCGACGCTTGAAATGCCGACCAAGCAGTACAAGTTATTGCAAGCCCCTTCACCCTCATACCTTCTTCATCCAGAGATATTCACTTCGTGAACTTCCAGTCTATCGGCCGATGGCAATCCACATACACAGGGGAAACATGTTTTCAACTTACATCACGGACTGAGTTGATGTTGATGTAGTACTCAGTGTCTTGGGGATGGGGCACGAAAGGCTCAATGAGGAATTGTCTCAAGACACCAGTGGTGTGCTCAACCTGCTGCTCCTTGCCGGCTCGCTCAGCAACCCAAGCCTTAGCCTCAGGCCAGGACTTGTTGAGGGCCAGAAGACCGCTCTTTCCTCGTCGCTTGATGAGCTGATCGGGCTTGGCGACGAACTTGGCGTCGGCCTGGAGAAGCCAAGGGTAGGTGACCTCAGCCTGGTTCAAGATATCGTCAACGTTGGCATCCTCAGGGAAGTGCAGCGAGGCGAGTCTGCTGGGAGGGTTGTGAGTGGTAGGCGCAGGAAGAGGGCTGGCCTTGATAACGGGGGCGCGGGTGAGGTGGTAGTTGAGGATGGCCTTGCCGTCGGCCTCGAGAATCGACTTGGCGGACATTGTGAATTATGAGGAGTTGGTGAGAAACGGGAGAAAGAGTAAGACGGAATGAGCTGGCAAGTGTCGGCTTATTCCTTTTTTATTCAATTCTGGTTGAGGAGAGCGGGTTAGTGTCTGTTTGACGTTTATTCGAGGATGGACCAGCAGTGTCGTCTCGCAAGCGTGCAATCAAGTTGGAAGTCGAAACCAGAACCAATGTAAGTTGGTCAAAATATTGGGTTCAACGACTATCTATACCAGCGCAATGCCAATGCCAATGCTCAAGCGAAGCAAAGCAACTGTAATTGCGACTGGCTGCAGCTCGAAGTCGAGAGTTGACGATGGTCGGCGGGGAAAACGGTAAAGACTCACCACTGCACACAAGCTCAAGTGGGCTGCGACAATGAAGTTGAAGTTGAGGGTTGGGAGGGAGAGGGAGAGATTATGACAAGAGATGGGGCAAAAGGAAGAGGAAGAGAAAGTTGATGATTGCTCAAGACTATGAGAGAGGTGAGAATGGAGGAGCAAAAAGAAGCGGGAGTTGGAGCCAGACAGGAGTGAATAGCTCTCGCTGGTCGAAAAAACCACTGGACCTGAAGGATGGAAGCTCAAGGGGAGGACAAGCGGGTGGAGTCTCAATGGATGGAGGGGTCGGAATGGGAGGAGGGGAGGGGTGACCTGGCGTGCTGGCGTGCTGGGCCTGGGGGCTAGGTGGCCTGGAGCCCGTCCAGTAGCCTGGGGCGAGCGGCGAGCGGGCGGGCGGTCAGTGGGCGGTACCTGGAGCGACAGGGTCGATCAGCGCGTGGCTGAGGTACCTGGGCCCTGAAAACAAAATTCATTGGGGACAGGAGGAAGGGTTCATCCAAAAAAGGCGATGAGAGCTGGACATGTACCGGTACATGGCTCAGGTCACTCCAAGCTGTTGAGGACCTGAGTGGACCAGGGGGAGGCGACCCGACGACACGACAACCAACCTGGTAGCCTGGGCTCTGGCTCTGCATCCATTGAGTTACGTACGTACGACAAGTCAAATTCAACGGACATCAATCGAAACAACCTAACCACCGCCGAAAACCGCAGCGAACAATTTACTCGTTCACGCTAGGTTACCACTTCAAGCGCAACCCAAACCCAATTCTATTCAATTTCCCGAGATTCGAAAGAGCTTCTATCAGTTTCTCGGCCAATTTCGTTTCTTGAGTTGTTTTCTGTGTGCTTGCTTCCTTTTTTGGGGTGCATCTGCGATATCAACATCATCCTCATCATGACCCTGGCTAAAGGCTTCCAACCATTGGATGAGGTTGGCAATGATTGACTCGGGTTCCGGGGAAGAGTGATGGGTTGACCTTGCGGTGAACCCCCATGAGTCGGGTGCGTGCCTCAACCTATGCTCGGGCAAGCCAAGGTGAAGTGCAATGAGTGAGTGCAGTTGACGGTTTCCATTGAGGTGGCTTTTTCTCTACCAATGGTGGTCAGCGCCTGCAGAAGACGCCACCCCCGACTTGGCCTGGTCTAAGCTGCCCGCCCTGCCCCTCCATCCCCCTCCATCTCCACTCCTCACCTCACCTCACCTCATCTCATCTCACTGTATCTCACTGGAGCTATCCCAATCCATTCCACGCTGTTCACTTTGAACCAGCCCACAACTCCCGGCTGGTTGCGGGATCAAGTGTCCATCTTGCTGCATCTATGTCCGATTTTCGGTGGATAGATTTCGAATTTTCAATCGAACTTTC